TCAAACAAGGTGTGTGTTGGGCTGTCAAATCCCAAGTCACTCGTTGCATGTCAGTTGAGCTGATAGTATATAATATATACATATGTACATATGCAAGTACATAGAGGTAGGTGTGCACAAAAATAATACAATTTACCAACCAAAACAAAATGATGCCAATACGGTATTCTGATATACATACATCCATGTGCATATATGTATATACTTACATACATATATACCAATTTTAGAGCAACGACAAAGGGAAAAGGCAAGCCTACTACTAATATATATATTTTAATTGGCCTTGCTGTGCCATTGTGTTGGTATGTATACTTTTCTTCTGCTTATTTCATTTAGTTTTTATACTAACGGATCATGTTGCAACAAAGTATAATAGTTCAAGTGCCGGTTCAATGTTAGCAAAATTGATTTTATCCGACCAAGCGTTTTTATCTCGGCGATCTAATCCAGTTTGGATCTGTAGTTAGTAAGTAGTAATAGTTTCGTTCATAATAGGTTGTCAAAAAAGTCTTGCGGTATTTTTATTGAATGTTTTTTCAATTTTCAATTGTTCATAAAATTTTTTTTGATGACTCATGCCCAGCTCTTGACCGATGCTACGGCTGCTACTATGCCGGTCTCTTTCGACCAATTCAGCGATTTTATCGCAATTTTCAACAGCAGGCCTTCCGGAGTGTGGCGCATTTTGGACCATCTCTACACCAGAACGAAAACGTTGAAACCATCGTAGTGCGGTGTAAATGGAAACTGTATGGGGTCCATAAACTGCACAAATTTTATTGGCGGCTTCAGATGAATTTTTGCCTTTATCGTAGTAGTACTGTAAAATATGCCGTATTTTCTCTTTATTTTGCTCGAGGTTTGCGACGCTATAACCCACACGTGTTAGCGCGTGAAATGAGCTTTCCAAAAAGGTACAGCATGACCCGATGCGACGAATAAAACTAGAACTACGCGCTCTCAGCGCCAACTAGCGAAAATGCTGCAAGACTTTTTTGACAATCTAAGATAACGGTTTTTTTGTAGCGTCTAAAGCTGAACGAGATAGATAAATATAAAACATTAAAATTTCGGATATCTGTTTATCCGACAATCTGTTTCAGCTGTTGAAAAATAAGAAAGTTGAGTACTAACCGAGTCCACATCTGCTATAACGGTTATTTTCAAAAATCCCTTCCTTCCGCTTCTTTATAAAGTATATTCTAGTCAACATTTAAAAATTTCTTATTAAAAAATTGAGAAGAATTTATTCAAATCGGCCGATATCTTTCTTAAAGTCAAACAAATAGTCAAGGTAGACACGTCCTTACTTGTACATTTTTTATTTCGTGTGACAAACGTTGCGAAGGCACGTGGAGCCAACAGAAAATCGATAACTGACGCGTGGCGTTTATGGGGAAAAATGGCAAGCGGAAAAATGACTGAAGCAACATACAATTGTTGGAATATACTACTATACTTATATATATGCATATATATTTATAGGAGGGCTTACATATACATATGTACATACCCAGCTACTATACAGCTTATCTATGTAATAGAAACATTGTTAAGTTATAACTGATAAATAAGCTAGAGTCAAGGTTCGCCTTGATAGCGAAGGTATAAGAACCATCAATCAAGTCTTATAAGATATGATCCGAGTATTTCCCAAAAACGACATTGAGTAGAAAGTTGCAAAAAATATTATATGCTTGACAACGTTGCTAAGAACTCATCAAACGCATCACTATTGGTGACGTGATGTTGGTTTATAAATCGAAACTGTCCAATAAACTAGCGAAATAAATAAAATTGTATTTATATTGAAATATTATTGCAATGTCACGTTATTACGAAATATGGGAAACAAACTACAATTTAACTGCAACAGAACGCCCCGATTAGTATGCACCTTATATGTGTATGTGTGTTGTGCCAATTTGGCAACATTTTTAAGCTCGACTTTCAAACAATATTTCTCACTTCAGAGAAACGATGTCTGCATATTTGTATATTTTGATAATCACATAAACAAACGGTTGCAAGTGATTGTGAAATTTGTTTTGTCTGCGATCAAGTTGCGGCATCAAACTTGTGTTCGCTGAAGTTGCTGCTCTGGCGCGAAGATAAAAATAAACAAATAATACGTAAAAATTTCTCATCCGAAATAATAAGCATTGGACAAAAGTAAATAAGCAAATTAACAAAAAATTGCACTTTGTACCATGGGAAGTCGAATATTTTCGATCATTTGCAATTCGAAGAAACATAAGGATTGGCGCTACAATATTTACAATAACTCGAATATCATTGGTCTTCAATCTCTGTTTAACGAATTTCGTTTTGATTTTATTACAACCAATTAAGCAAGGGCTAAGTTCGGGTGTCACCGAACATTTTATACTCTCGCATGATAAAGTGATAATCGAGATTTCAGGCGTGATTGTGAACCGATTTCACCCATATTTGGTACATGTCATCACGGTGTTAAGAAAATATTATATACCGAATTTCAATCGGTTGAGCACTTCCTGAAATATGGTTTTTGGTCCATAAGTGGG